GCCATCTTAATTTTTGGCGTAGACTTCTTTATGTATAAGGCTTTCTTTTTGTTTGGATAATTAGAATCATTCTTTATGTGTTCAAATTTATTACACCTCCAATAATGCATAGTCTTTTCAAGTTGAATTTTTGTCAAGCTACTTATGGCAGTTGCAACCTTCTTGGGCTTAGATACATCCATCATCCAAGCTACTATATTAGTAGTATCATATTGACAAAGTACCTTATCATATTTTTCAACTTATACAAATGCTTGTGCCAATGTTGCCTTCCAAACATAATTGAAAACAATTCTTGGAATGGCTAAATTCAAGATTTTTTTCTCAATATTAGATAAAAAAAATCTTAAAAAGTTGACTCTCAGCAAACACACCTCTCGACTCTATTGCAAATTGAGCTAAATGAATATATATGGTATGTAGAATATCTCCTTTTTCATGGCAAAAGTCTTGAATGTGTTGTATTTGATTATGCCTAAAACCTCCATACTTGTTCTATAAGTAATTACTAAATATTTGAAGAGGTTCAAATGATTGTGGTTCTCCCATTGCAGATAAAGTTGCTTTCATTGCTTGAGCCATGTGATATAAAGTAATTGGAGTGTTGATTAAAGAAGTAATTACTTCTTTTCCTTTAGTATCTTCTAAAGATGTACCAACTTTTCTTTGGATTGGATCTTCTTTCTTTACTATAGACATTAAACTTGAGATAGTATTCTCTATAAGAATTAAAATAAGTTCCATGCATACCTTTTAATAATATTCCACTAGATGCAATTCAAGTGAGTGTTCTCCACTCCATTTTCCATAGATTTGGAGCTCTCATGCTCCAAGTATTGTAGTAAGAGCTCAAAGACATACCACTCATTGAAAGTAGGAGACCTTTGATACTTCTCCTTCATCAATATTTGAAATCTAAGTCTCCAATCTAACAAAGAAATGTCTTCAATTCTTCCTAAGAATCTTTCTTTCATCATATTGCAAGGATCATCTTCCATCTCATAAAATTTATCCATCTCCAAGACCGAAGGCCTCCAAGTGGTATCGAATATTGAAATAAGCTAAAAAATCTTGTTAATATCTATACCTAATCCAAATTGCTTGATGCAGTTATTATCGAAGTAGACTAGTGAAGGTAATCAATAATGTTGAATTTTACTATGTACTATAAAAGGAACTACTTGAATACTCACAACTACCTAAAGGCTAAAAGGGCAACGTGCGCTTGCAAAATGACTGAGTTTTCTAATTCATCAGCAATCACCTCCAAATCACTACAAATCCAACATGTCTACGAACAAAAGGATTTCACTAGCCATTAACTTGATTTCATTCCTATAATATGCTTATCAATACAAACTAGTACAAACTCAAAATGGAGTAACTACAAAAAACCTCTTGAAATAATACTTACAATTAGGAGAAGGTACTAAAAATGAAATCCAAAAATCCCCACTAGATCTTCATCTCTAATAACACATAAACAAAAATCAAAAGTGAAACAAAGCAATTGGCGCCTGCTTGCAATTGATGGTCACAAATTATAGAACATGTGACAATAAAAGACAATTGCAGTAAAATAAAATGTGGAGAAGTGAGAGAAAATCAAAACTCACTTAAAAAGCAATTAACATTTAATAAATGCCACTTCAATGCTCCAAATGACCTCCACTCCAAAAATTAGGCATGTGAATGGATTCCTTGAGCCTCTTATACATAAAATTGACTCAAAAATAATCAAATTTGGACTCCATATGCACTTAGAGTGAGTTTCCAAACTTGACACTTAAGAATTCTGGACAATGTTTTTTTAATTTTTTAATTTTTTTAATTTTTAATTTTTTTTTAATTTTTTAATTTTTATAACTAATGTCCTATAATCGCGCACTAGATCTTTGACCGAAGACCCTATGACCATGGTCCTATTACCACCAATGAGCCCTGTCACCGTAGTGCCATGTCACTGCAAAATGTCCTGTGATCGTAAAACTTTTGATCACGGAGTCCTGTAACCATGCAACCCGGTCACCGTGACTCACCTAAGACCATGGATTAACGCTTTTAGCGGCACAAAAATATCGCTAGCCATTGCTCACCGTAGCAGATCCAAATTATTTTGCACAAAATTTTGGTGTGCAATAGCGCGTCGCACCACCTTTTACAAAAGCCCTTGTATTATCCCGCCTTATTTAGCGGCCTACTTGCATAGTCACCATACACTGAAATTCCAAGCCACAATCTGTGATTGACCTACAGCTCAATCTCACGTCACGATGTTTCGTAATTGACCTGCAGCTCAATCTCACCTTGTGATGTCTCGTACATCTGTGTTGCCCAATGTCGCACCCACTTCGTGCCTCTGCGCTGCAAGAGCTCCTGCAATCTACACTCTAGTGCCTTCGTTGTCGCAGCTAAGCTTCCTGCCACGATCCTCCAACGTCGCCTTGTAAGCCAAGCCAGTAACTCGTCGCCGCACCCCTGCAGCTCAGCCTTGCCTCTCCATTTTGCACTCCCTGACCGCAACCTCTAATCACCCATCACCGCGGCCCCATGCTCCAATTCTATGCCCCTCTACCGCCTTACAGCTCCACTACCGCCCAATATTATATCCCACTCTTGTACTGCAACTGTAGCCCAGCTGGTTCCGGCGCCCAGCACAGTACTGCCCAGAACCTAGCAACAAAAACAATATTCAAATTGCAATTTATTTATTTATTTATTTATATTTTAAAATCTACTTCATTCTAACTTGCTACATTACAAATTGAAGAGATGGAGAGATTCTTGTGAAGTGAAAGATTAGAAATCTACACCAAATTAATATTAATATTGATAAAATCAAGTTTATGATATTAGAATTCTATCTGACATAAGAAACACAATTGATATTGGCCAATATGACACTTAAGAATATGAATATAAAAATTTGAAGTAATTTGTATCTTATATATATATATATATATATATATATATATATTGTAATATTTGCAATAAATTGATCCATTCTAATCACACCTTCTATCTTTAATATTACTTACAATTAATGATAATGCATTAATTTTAATATTTTAGTTATCTTTTTAAAGCAATAATCATTTTTTGTTATCATTTATTGAAATTTTAATTAAAATTAGTCCTTAAGAGCTTAAAAGTAATTGTGATAATGTCAAAAAAAAAAAAAAAAAAAAAAAAAAAAAACTTAAATACTTATTAAATGCTTTGGAAATTCTGGCAAAAAAACATTGAAGTTAGATAAAAATATATATTTTCCATATGTTCATTGAATAGACTTAGGAAGAGATATTATTGTAAAGGTTGATGAATAAAAGTTGATAGATAAGACTTTGTTTAAAGTTATAAAATTTATTAAAAATAGATATATAAAATTGTAGTAAGGATTGTAAACTACAAGCCTTTATTAAAAAGAATTAAATGAGAATCTAGTTACAAAGGTTCTATAGTGCAATTATGAAAAATTTAGATTGTAAGTAACATGCTTATTAAAAGTTGAAAGAATAACAAAGATGACACAACTTGTGAATAAGATGAAAAAAATAGTATGAAATTATGATTATTTGTTACTTGCACTTAATGGTTCTAAACAAAATCAATACTAACAGTAATATGTCAAATGTTCTTGAATGTTAAAGATAAGTAGAAGTATCTAATATTATTAAATAAAATTAATATTTTTAATAATCCATCAAATGTTATAACACAATAAGACAAAGTTGGCTACAAAATCTTTATTGTATAAGGTTGTGGATAATGGGTTTATTAAAAGCCAATAAAATGACAAAGAAAATATTATACATGTATAAGATAAAGAAAAAATAATTTAAAATTAAATTTATTTAATCCTTACATTTAATTCTTCTAAATAAAATTAATATTATTAATAATTTATTGAATATCCTCAAATGTTGGAGATAAGAAAAAGTTCTCCTAAGTCACATCAATACTATCAATAATTTTTTAAATATCATATCATAATAAAGAAAAGCTTGATTCAAAATCTTTACATTGCAAACATATCAATCTAAGTTGTAGATAGTAGATTCATTAGAATCTCAGAAAAAATAGAGATAATATAACTAATAAATAAGATGAAGAAAAAAAAAAACATCTAAAATTGTGAACATTTGATATGTGCATTAAATGCTCTTGAACCAAATTAATACTATCAAAAACTTACTAAATGTCATAAAAAAAATATGAAGCTAGTTGCAATAAGAATATAAGTTTACTAACTCAATGACTAGAATTTTGTATGTTAATGAATTTTTTTGCTTAGTCTCTAATTACATATTTAGAATAGGTTGTTTATTATATTTTTTCTACTTGTATCTTTTGTCTTAGATATTAATTGAATGTATATTTATAAGAGACCAACTCCAACTATCTCATTGTTGTAGAAATGTCTTTTGATTGTACTAAATGCCAATAGAAATTGATTAAATTAATTAGGACTAGAAAATTGCTAGAAAGACCTTTATATTATCTTAGATTCACTAGGATTTAATTATGACATTGTTAGTGTGTTAACTACTAGAAAAGTTATACAATGTAACAAAATAAATCATGTAACCTTCATTATCTACTTAATCTCCCTAAAAAATATCTTCTAATATTATGTAATTTAACTATAGTATTCTTTGTACAAAATGCATACTTGTTCAAAATATAATCATGAATACTTTATTGAAATACAATATCAAATCAAAAATGAAAAGTTGATTGATTGAAAAAACTTGAAAATTTTATTTCTAATGCTAATTTCACATGTATAACCTTAACATTTTATCTTTTAACAATTTTTTTTGAACTTGGTAATTTTGCTTCTTTCTTCTACATAAATATGACTGAATCAAGAAAAACACCAAAAGATGACGAGGTATGAGATAAACACGTATACAAAGCAAGTTTGCTATACTAAGCCTAAATCAAGATAAAAACTTTCAGCAAGTCTTCAGTGATTTCAATTGTAGTTAAACTCGAGCTACATAAATTCATTTTTTTTTTTTTTTTAAAAAACTCAAGAAATATACAATAGATAGCAGTGCTAATCATTAAACCTACTCTTGTGTTAGTTTGGCAACCACAAACCGCAGAGCATGTGACAAGCTAATGATCTTCTGATATGCTAGAAACGCTGCATCATCAATAATGACGTGGCAAAATACAATAGTGCCCCTAACTTGCGAGGTGCTCAACATTTGCATCTACATTAATAAATCATCAAATTCTCAAAACTGACGATACCATGGGCGTATAAACGTCACTGGCATCCTGTATAATGCTTACAGGCGAGACATGGAATTACGAATTGGGACGCTCTGCACAGAAATTGAAATACATACAAATTAATGCTTATACTTACATTTTTTGATCATGTGGTTGAACCAAAGCTTAAACCATAACTGCAATTAACTGGAATGTCATAAATCAGATCAAGGAAGGAGAAATGAGTACCAATTTGACACCACTTGAGGCGCGCTCCTCCAGGAAAGCACAGGGCTTAAAAAAGTCGCCATGGGCTTTTGTCCACGTGTTCAGTCTTGAGGCAATATACTTAGCCCCAATTATATCTGCCCAGCAAACGATGCCACCCCTGTCCATGACAACGTAATTTACCAGGTAAGAGATTATCTAAGCAGGTACCGATTATCACTTTAGAGAGGAAAGTCGAACTGAGAAATAAATGCGAAGGCTCTTCGCACCTGTATGGAGGAAAGCCCATGCCAAAAACCGAGGCAATATCCAAGTCAGAGGCTTGCACAACTATCTTCTCAGCCAACACACGGCAAGCTTCATTCACGACTGGGAACATAACCATCTCCACTATGTCTTTATCGGTCAATTCCAAAGGCTGCAAACCCACAACCACGCCCAGCATGTCCACCTCGTAAATGGAAGAAAGTGAGACAATATTGACGTGCAAGGCATGCTAAAGACTTTACATCAGAGCAACTGAAACGCAGATGCAACAGCTTTCTCCTTCATAAGCTACCCACCTTGCCATCGAGCATGATCCCAGCTTCCTCTTGAGATTCTTTGATGATATCTTTAATTTCAGGTGCTGGACGAGCCTTTCGCTTCTCATCATAAATGTAGAATCCTTTTCCGTTTTGTTCTCCTGTCAATAGAATAGACATTACGACTAGTTTTCCGATGGTTTCATAAGCCTGACCTAGTGCTTTGCAAAAAACACAGGGCTTTGAGGTTGCTGGTGTTTTATGCGCTGAGAGTTGATTTACAAAGAAAAGTAACATGATCGATGGAGAAAAAGATTTACTCACCCAATCGCTGAGATTGCAACATTTTTGGCACCAGTCGAGAAATATATACTCGATCAGAGAACGAGTTCACGACTTGAGTACCAACTGCCACCCCGACTCCAAAACCGACCAAATCTGTCAGTCTGTACACCAATAACGTATTCCACACTCAAGAAATTAGCTCGTAAATTCAGAAAAAAGATAACGACAGATTTGCACAGGTTTCCTGATTCTTATCATATACACGAGCTACTCCACACAAAAAGCTCTCATGATGTGTTCATTAACTGCAGAGAAACGACCCACCTGAATGGTCCCATTGGCATGCCCCAAGACTTGATAGCATTATCTATACGATAAATGTCGACCCCAAGGTCAGAGAGCATCATAGCTGCCATGGTGTACGGGAAGAAGACTCGATTTACAGCAAACCCTGTGCAGTTTCCAACAAGGACTGTTGTCTTCTTGATGGCTTTCCCCAGGGCCATGAGATCCACTATGACTTGCGGTGACGTCTTGTCTGTTCGAACAATCTCCAAAAGAGGCATGATATGTGCAGGGCTGTAAACAAAAACAAGGGTCTATATGAGCATTATTCTTGAAGATATGCAAACAAAAACTTAGTTAGATCTTTAGCGGGGCAAAAATGGTTTGCATTGGCGTCTTCATCAGGGCGTAACGGAAGGTGGAGAACCTGAAAAAGTGTGCACCAATGATGCGATCTTGAGAGCGTGTTTTAGCACCCAGAACATTCAGATCAATAGTAGATGTGTTGGTGGATAGAATACAGTCAGTTCTACAGTTCTTCTCCAGATCGACAAATATCGATTGCTTGAGATCGATATTTTCAATCACAGCCTATTAGTTGCCAACGACCCAACAATCAGTAAACAATTAGAATCTAAGAGCTTACCAAGGATGCCAATTGGTATTATGGAGTGAACTTCAAACATGACAAGAACCAATATTTCCAAATGATCATAGGAGATAAATGTAATCACATTCGTATTCTGTTGAAAGACAGCTAACGGACTCACTAATTCGTACGAAACTGAGTATGCAAGGTGTCAACAGTCACAAACTAAACCACCCACACAGATCCCCCCCCCAGGTACCTCAATCACCACATCCACACTCTTAAAGTCTTCATAGGTCAAGACACCCGTCACAAGTGATAATATCGTCTCGAACTTTTCTCGGGACATTTTCCCTTTCTTCACACGACTCTGAAGGTTTGCTGTACATAAAGGTGAATGACGATTCAAATATCAGGATACCATTGGATAGTAGATGAGCCGATTTTTACACTTCGAAATATAACCAGTTCAGTGCATATTCTCTGCATTGAACGTAACTTTATCGCCAGTTTTATCAAATGCCACAGCACAACAAAAGTACCTTTTATGCGCTCAAGTCCCGCCTGTAAAAATTTATCATTGATTTCTTTCAGAAGAACAGAATATCCGCTTAATATCAATGCAGTAACGATTCCAGAACCCATAAGTCCTCCTCCAACAACTGCCACTTTCTTTATCTTTCTTGGCTTTAAACCCAACTCGACGATTCCTGGAACCTGCAACCGTAAATTAGCTAGCATGGCGTTCACAATCGCTAGCATCAGGCGAATATCTAACTCGATGACTCCGGGTAGTTACTTACATATGTAAACCTAGTTAACAGAAGCATACAATCTAATAATTCTGATATGACGGACATCTACCACATTTAATGAAAATATAAAAAAGTGAAAAGCAGAGTAGCAAAACATGGGAGACGCCTACTTTACTTGTGGCTCTTATAGCAAAGAACAGATTCACAAGGCCCTTGGCGTTGTCTGAGACGACCGTAGCTGCAAATAATTCGGCTTCCTGTAAGGATTTGTATAGAAAATGTGTCAGTAGTATGTGAGAAAAAACTTCCTCACACTGACACACTCCCAAGTTTGAAAGAACATGCATAAACCCTGTCAAGCGATGAAGAAAAAAACCAATACCTTTAAAGCACCACGATAACCACCAGCAACCACTCCTTCCTCCACAGCATCAAGACATAATAGAGGATGAGTCAGATTAGGCGCAGTTTTTTTGACTTGAGCTCGGGCAAATTTGATGATTTCCCGAGCATCACCCAAAGATTCTAGCTTGTCTGTGCGCTGTAGAGAAGACAAGCGAGGCCTCTTTCCTAAGGCAATGTCAAGTGCCCATCGACGTGCAATGGTCAAGAGGTCTTCTGGAGCAACTATCTCATCAACAAGCCCAAGCTTCTTGCCTTCCTCTGAAGCAATAGGTTTTGATAGCTGTAGGCCATTCGGTTGACAGCCAACACAGACTGAGTTAATGTACTTGAAACAAATGATCACAACAAATCTCATCCTTGAAAGCCTAATAGAGGTTGCAACACACTGGTAAAGACTTGCTGTTATCCAAAGAAAAATGTTCACAACAGAAGATTAAATATCAAAATGTCATGCTGTAGAACTTGCCAGCATCATTTCGAGGGCTTTTGTCAGACCAACCAAACGTGGCAACCGCTGCGTTCCTGAAAGAGTTTCCAGAAGTGAGGTTCCACATGACTTAGCCGAGGCATGCAAAAAAATTTATTACAATTAAATTTAGAAAAGCTACCGAACTAGAATACATTCCACCATAGAATTAAGGACGCTACAACTTGCAGAGTCCAAAATGTCCGGTTACAACATTACGGACTACCATGAGACGCTAAAGGTTCAGGCCATGAAAACAATAAGCACTTACCACCAAAACCAGGAAGAATGCCCAGCTGAAGCTCGGGAAGTCCAAGCTGTGCTTTAGGGGTCGCAATCCGTGCATGACATGACTTCAAACAAAGAGAAAAGAGGGGGGGGGGGGGGGAGGGGGGGTCAAAATAAAATCCAATTCCTACTGCAAATGGAAACCACTATTAAAAATATAAAAAATGTGAAACATAATATTGACACTCTATTTTATATAATTTCAACATAAATTACATAGAAATGATGAGAAAAGGAATGAAACAAGAACTCCCCAAAAAGAAAAAGTTAAAGGAAAAAAAAAAAAAAGAGAAAAAGTCCTGTTCTAACTGGGGCCGCAGATACGATTTCATCTCAATGATCAGGATCAATCCATTTTTATACTCTTATTAGGTAGTAAGATGGAGGTGAGGGCTTCTAAAAATTCAACTGTGGCAAAACAACACTGGAACAATGTGGTCAATTTATTTTATATGTGCGAGCACGCTGTAAACGTTACGTAAAGTTTCGTGATATACCATTGCTAATTCCAACCCACCACCAAGAGCCAATCCTGGTACTGCTGCAACTGTGGGCTTGCTGGCCTCTGTAAAATGCTCCATATTTATCCTTATGTGAATAAAACATTTGAAGAACAGAGAAACCTGTAAATTTAGACAAAAAGAGTTGATATGTAAAGTACTCTACCTTCAATTGTTTCTATCATAAGGTCCACTGATGCTTGGTTCAAGTAACCATTCGAACCTGCATACAAGCACAGCACCACTCACAGACAGTTAAAACTACTGTACTCCTGCTGTAGCACATCCTTCAAATAGAAAAACTATTCTTTTCTACATCTCTGTGTACCACTACTATTTGAACACAATTTAGTTCTGTAATTTTGTACAGGAGCAATGCTGACACTTACCACCCTCCTGCAGTTTTGGAAATACTGAAATGTCAAAACCGCCAGAAAATTTTCCATTAGCTCCTGAAATAGCTCAAGAAGTTTTAGCACCTTGCGAACAGTTTTAAGCTAACATCGCAAACTCGAGTGCTCAGCGGATCTCTTAAAATTAAAACTATCACATGTTCATCATGAAAAGGTAAAATCGACTGTTCCCCTCTGGCCAAAAAGATCACGAACTGCAAACAAACATGAAATCAATGAATACCTGTGACAACAATGGCCTTGACATCATCTCTTGCATTTGCCTCATTGTACCTCTCCTTCAAGGCTATCAGCGCTGCAACAGAAAAATTGTTTTCTTTCCTTCAGAACCTATCTCGGCGTTGAAACACTTGAAAATCCACGATTGTATGTTCGCAATATTAGGGCATTAACATCTTCTAGTACAGATAAATACATCTGCAGGGGAAGTAGAGAGCCCCCTTGTCAATCGTAGATAATCTGGAATATTTCCTCTTATATAAAGATCCAGAACAGATCATTACAGCTAGTTTAAATATCATAATGACAGACTATCGCAATGTTTTGCTAGGCTCTCACACTCATCAAATCTCTCGAGCAGACCAGTGCACATTTGTGTGAGACTAGCAGGTCAGTTGAAGGGATCTTTGGAGTATTAAAGCGACCGCAACCAATGTTCTTCCAGCTCGCTCCCATTCTAAGTTAAGCTGTCAAGTCCTAATTGAGAAACATAAAAAGATAAGGATAACCAAGGATCTTGCCACGAGTGCAACCAAAGTTGCCACCACATTAAGTCCAGAGTGACACCCTCTCTACTCGTTTCTAATTTCTAGATTGTTCTGTTCGACAATTGCGGTTATATACAAAAAGGTGTCGCTCTGATACAAGTTTCAAAACACCAATTAGTGCACAAAAACGGAGTGCCTGGTTTCTATCCAGACACATCAAATTCTAACTGCACTGCAGTAGCACGATTGGCTTGACACGCATAAACTCTCTGTATTTAACTTCAGAAAATAAGATCCGCGTCCCCCTTATACTAATTACTGGGCAGATGATGTCCAACCATGCCGATCCATGTTTCTCAACCACAGGGCATTGAACTTTGACAATGACTTGTGTGCTTGAAGTCCTGCGCCATTAGGATGAATTGGCAGGAAGGCGATCTGCTGTTCATGCCCGAGCCGCTTGTGTCCGCCCAACAATTAGAGCAAGAATACCCTCTGCCCTGAGATCAAACTCATCGAGGCGAGGGTATCCAACCCAGTTTAATAAAAGATTTGGGAATGAGTGCGCCAAGATGACAGCCTTGGAAATGGAGGCAGGGTAGTGGCAAGTTTCTCCAAGTGCTTCCAGGTGCTACACATTCACATGGCGGAGGAACATGCTTACCAAGGAATTGGGTAGTATCACGAGAGGAACGAAAAGGGCTCTAAATTCAAGATTGTGTCACGCCACCCGGATGGTAGAATAACAAGAGATTGCAGTGTTGTGAGCAGAAATGGTGGAAATTAAGGTAGGTACAATGTCTGTAACTCAAAGTAGGTGGGGACATTTGATTGGTGTACATCAGATCAGTGACAAAAACCACACCCGAGTTTGACATTGGAACCCCACAAAACCCACGCTCAAAGTGAAAAGAGGAAACCCAGTTTCAGAAGATCCAACAAGTGATCCGCTCACCGGGAATCGCTAATGAGTTAACAGGTGGGTTGTCGATTGTGATTACAGCTACCGCGTCCGCTCCGACATCCATTTTGACGCTCAACGTCATGGCTTCACCAACGAAGTATCCACGGGAAAAACAGAACCAAAGCTCCACCTCTCGACCTTTAATCTGGTTTAATTTCTCAACCTGAAGAATGTTATCACAACAATAGAACTCGCTAATACGGTCCTGGCGTGCGAAGAGCTTCGGAGAAAAGTGAATCAGCAAACAAGCAACCTGCTTAACACTGCCATGGCCCTTTTTCTTTCTTTCTCTCTGCTTGGCTACAGTGGTGCTAAGGCTGGTTCTCCTCACACACTGGGAACTCATGCATTTACGTACAAGAAACAAGGGCCCATTATGGCTTCTGTTCATGTCAGAGACAATCGCTCTTTAATGGGAGATGCCTGCCGATCCAAGAGCCATGGTGCATTGCTCATGATCCTTTGGAGAATGGAGGCAGCAATTCACTGTTTCCATGCAATATCTGCCGCATCCATCAATGTTTCGGCCACCCTCAAACCTTTCTGCTCCTTTTGCTTAAAAAAACACAGTGCAGTAGCATGTCGAAAAGACTTGAGCTTATTGAGGTGAAATATTATCCCATGAAATTCCAAGGCACTCGGATAATTCCTAATCCAAATATTCAATTTGAAAATTCTGACAAGTCTGTTGAACTTGCCGCTAGTGGAACATCTGTTATTCAATGTGCCAAACAATCTCATGTTTTTGGAGTTGCTGCAGACATGTTCATTTACAAGCAAAACAATTTGCATGAGCTGAACTGTTGGAAATTATGAGATGCTTAGAGGTACTTTAGATGTTCAGACTGACTTATGCCTTAATCCACTGACCATGCTTCTAAGCTATCTACAAGTTATCCTGTTCCATTGTGGATAGGAGTATTTCATTGTGTACAAGCTTGAAACAATAGGGGGTTTCAAACATGGCTTTTTCTGGTGATATTTCACTGGTGATGCAATCTCAAAGTATCTTGTGATATTTTGAGATATCACTTAATACTTCACCAAATCACCCACATTGAAAGGTGAGTGATTTTGAAATTGAAATATCAAAGAGATATCACTTAATACTTCACCAAATCACCCACATTGAAAGGTGAGTGATTTTGAAATTGAAATATCAAAAGAGGGGTGGTTCAAATATTAAAAACTATATTGCTTACCTCAGTACTCTTTCCTCTTTGATTCTATACCAAGGGGGTAATAAAGATTGGATGTGGGAGTAATATCATGGAATAATAAAGTTTGAACAGTGATATTTTGGATTTGATATTTTGAATAATCTTAGATATATCAAGTAGTGAATCTTAATTATTGATTTTGTAAAAGTGTCATGTTTGAAACCTCCTAATCATGTGTATTAATTTTTATCCATTTATTTAGGATCAGTATAGGTAGTTTTAGTCTCTTCAATAACTTAATAGTTATTGAATTTATATTTATTCTTTAGTCTTAAATGATCCATTTGTCTTGTATTTAATTTTTTTATTTAAGTTGCAACCTTGTTCACACTTTAGAGATATGTTAAGAATATGAATAAGCATTAAACAACCAATATTTCATTCCTAAGCAACATATCAATTTTAATATCATTAAACAAGATCCAAACTTGAAATGGCTTTTTAATTCAATTGCTTTTACTCATGTGACTTATAAATCTCAGTTGCTAGCTATTTTTAAGCCAAAATTAGTAAAAAAAAAAAATGTCTCAATGATATTATTGCCAATAGATATCTTATGTCTATTATAAAAAAAACTGCCATTATTAGATTTTTTAAATATTTTATATATATTTGGTCTTCACCAAAAATTCATGTCTATTAAATAATTTATCAATATTAATTATCTGGATTTACTCATATGCAAGTCTTGCTTTGTCTTTAATAAAGATGATCCTTAAATTGTTGTATTCTACAACAAGAAATATCCTATAAATAGTTTATATTGCATAACCATTCCATTGTATGGCAAATATCTACTTTAATTTATTATCAAGTTTACAAATGTATTATACTTTAGGCATTCTAGTACAATTGATATCTTCATGATATATATTTAAATCAAGTAAGTAAATTTCAAATTATTAATTAAAAAAACCTAAATAGAGAGAATATGTTTTTCCAAACTTGTTTAGAATTTTAGAATGACATGTATAAAAAAATTCTATCTATAGTAAAGAAGAAATATATTCTTATATATAATATAAAAAAATTATATATTTTATATGGTATTATTTTTAATAAGTTAAAAATAAAACATAATAATACTTTAAATAACTTAAAATTACTATTAAAAAGAAGCTAATTTCTACTTTTTCTTACCTATAATCAAATTGTGTAGCAAATTTAATGTTTTATGTTCTACTCATGGTATCAAATGAAAATTTAAATCTCTATCAAAAATTCAACTTAATGGAATTGCAAAATGCAAAAATTAAACTTTCTTAAAAGAAGTGTTCAATATTTTCTTTGACATCAAATTTTATTTATTTTTATGGCCAAAAATTGTAAGTTGTTAAAAAACTTACTTAAATTTTATTTATTTTTATGGCCAAAAATTACAAGTTGCTATATACATTGTGAATTAATATTTTACTTTAACCTTATTCAATTCAATAATTTTTTTAAATCTTTATTAACAACAACCAAACCTATTCCATCCTTGAATTTTAGATTGCGCAACAAATTTGTATATTCCAAAAGAATTTCAAATCAAGCTTTAAGCCAAAGCCATACAAACTATATTTATGAGCTATGACTTCTTTATTATTGGATATCAATGTAAAAATTCTCATTCTTATTAGTTCTAATGTAGTTTTTATAAAAAAATATTTAAGTAAGTTTTTTATTTTTTATTTTTATTTTTTAAATTTCTTTCAAAATATTTTATTTTTGTTATTAATATCAAAAGGAGATATACTAATTGATTTTATAAATAGAGAATATCTCTATGAAGAATGTGCAATTTTTATTGAAACTATGAAAGATTGTTATAAAAAACATGCAAAACTAAACCACCTCAAGTTCAAACCAATTGTTGATTTGAACAATTTGGATGCTATTAACAAATCTCTTAAAGAGGCTCTTGTATCTATTGATTGTTAATTCATTAAAAAATCAATATGGTCTACTAAATATATTCTTCTTTCTAAATATTTCTATGTCTATAATCTCTATATTCTATATAAAATTAATATTTATATTATTAAAATCTTTGATCTTTTAAGTGATGATATTATACTTAAGGAAGAACTTTGGGATCCACAATAGTTTGCAACTATGTTAGAGACAACTTGTCTCTTATTTGCAACAAAACTTGGAAGTTTATTGAACTACTACTAAATTATAGGACCATCTCATATAAATGTATTTATAAAACAAAGTATATTTATATTACTCAAAGTCCTATTTTGACATGGCTCAGAGCTAGACAAATTATAAGAAATTTATATTAACACAAGAGAATTGACAACAACATATTTGCTCATGTAGTTAGGTAGTCTTCTCTTGATACCATTATTATACTTGTTATAGTTAAATAGTGGCCAATCAACCATATGGACATAGTTATAACATTTCTTAATGACATCATTTAAGAATAGATTTACATGCAATAATCAATAGGTTTTGCTAAAAAAAGTCATAAAAATATGGAATAAAAGCTAGTCAAATCTATCTATAAGTTGAAGTAGTTGCCACATATATGGTATCAAGAGATTGATTTTTACTTGAGGATCTTAATTTAAATAATGAGGGATTTTTATCTAAATTTTTATAATTTTTATAAAGCTTCATCTAATATTATTTTATAGCTTTGTATTGATGGTTTCTTAATTATTGGAAATAATAAAGAATGTATTGCTACTATCAAACAACAATGTTATTTGAAGTACAAGATAAAAGGCTTTAGTGAAATACAAAATACTTTAGAATAGAATTTATTTAGAATGATAAAGATATGTTTTTGCATCAATTTTTTTTAGAATTGATGCTTTTTGAATTTGGTATGATTGATTACAAAATAGAGTATAAGCTTCTAATAAAAATATTGACTATCTAATCTAAGATTAGAATGCTTGCAATAGATATCATTGAATATTATAGACTAATAAATAAATCACTATTTCTAATAATATCAATCTAAACCTTTCTTATGTTGTTACAATTGTTCTATCTTTTATGGCCAAGCTTCAACAACAATATTTAGATGTTGCCAAGCATATTCTAAAATACATAAAGAAGATCTTTGATTATCACATATTCTTTTATTAATCTCTTAAATTTACTTTTGAAGATTATATTGATATGGATTATCTTAGATATTCAAAGACTTGTTTAATTGTAAGATATGTCTTTATATCTACATCTAGGCCAATGGTATAACAAAAGATAATTAAAGATATCAAATAATATTACTAAAATTGTATGTAAGACATTATCTGAAGCTATTCAAAAATTTGTTTATTTTCTAAAGTTATTACTTAAATTGATGTACTTTTATATTGAAAATCTCTATAGAGTCATCAAGTCCAATCATTTATTTGAATCTTTGGAAAATACAAATATCCACTATGTAGGATCTTTATTTTTATTATAATAACTAAAGATCTATCTTTATCACACTTAATCCAATCTTTAATACACGAATTAAACATCTAAAGACTAAATATCACTTTATTTGCATGTACATTTTAGAAGGTGAATTTTCATTCAACTAATCACTATAAGAAAAAAATCTACAGATATATCTATAAAAGTAACTTTCTAAGCAAATATTTGAATTACATTGACACTTTATTAGAATTTGTTCTTTTTAAAAAGTATAGTGGAATATATATAATCAGTCCCACCTTGCTACTCTATTAAACTCTCTCTAAGCAACATGCATGGTCATAATCCCTCTTTCCATATCTTCAATTGCCAATGGAGACTCTTAATGTATATTTTCTATGTTTGCTAATAATAAAAAAAGTATTAGAAATCTTGAGATGTTTAACATGATTCATGCCTTAATTCACTTAGTTTATATGTAAGTAACTCATCCAAGGGCTATCCTATGGCTGAAATTATTCTATGATGCATGTCTTTCAATGATCAAATATATTTGTTATTATCCATTTATTTAGGATAAATATACATAGTTTTAGTTTGTTCTATAAGATATACTAGTAACTTGGTAGTTCAATTTATTTTTGTTCGTTAACCTTAGCTTATTTGTTTATTTTTTATTTGGTTTTTTTATTTAAGTAACAATCTTTATTATTCACTTAGTGAGATAGTTAGTCTAGACCAAATTAGATGCTAATTTTATAAAATGTATTGAAATATATCATGCCTTGAAGATTTTTGTAATCACCATTCACTAGACCATGGACAAAATACATTGTGTTAGATATGTAGCACAATGGAAAAATTCCAACCCGATCTTTTATTTTTTCTCTACACCAATGTATAATAATATAATTCTCTAACAAAGAAAATTAGAGAACCTATTTAGCATCAATTTGCCATCCTTTGTGAGGCTTGAGAAGACCCATTGAAGAGGGATATTTAGTACATTATTTCAACACGCCTGTACACTGTTTTCTTTCAAGTCGTAGGCTACACTGGCGAAACCTCTTGTGCAAATCATAAATGCTAGTTGCATTATTCTCACTCATACACCAACCATGTCCAATCTGCTCAGCCAGAAGGTCACCTGCAATCTCGCACAAATATGACAGTGCAAGCCTACTTGACATTCTGGTGATTATTCTCGGAGCACTTCACTTATCGATCAAACTTGCTAGTTTTCTATCAATTTGAAGAACAAGTCTCGTTTGCAATGCTGCTGTGACATTGGATTTCATTGGCGCCCAATCTAATACGTAACCAGTATTAAATAGAAAGAAACTGTAGAAATAGGACACATATTCACAATTTCCGAACATCAAGTATTCAATAAATGCTTCTCGGTGCTCTCGAATCCAGACTGAGCTGCGCAACACTGCAAAGATAGAACTGATGCAGGATTAGAAACACCGTGATTCCAAAGACAAGAGGAGAACTTTCCATTTTCTGACTAAGATTGTATGGTTTTTTATTATAATAATAATAATATTTTTCTATCAGAAAGAAATACCTGGGTGGGCTTGTAATCTTTGTAATTGTGATGTCTGCTCAGTTCGAAGTTTCTATTCTCTTAGGGTTGCCTTACGTCAACAAACTTGAAGCCTAAAAAAGTCCTGAGGTGTAAAATGTTAACTAAGGCATGGTCCCAGTACTGAGGATTGCTTTGGGAAAATAAATAACATACCATTTTTGTTAGTTGATGTGATCTCAACTTTTGTTCAAAGTTTATTCAGCACATTCCTTTAAAAAAATTAGCTTCAATTCTAAATGGAAAGCATTGGGGAGGCCCCAACTTCTCTGCAGGGACAAGTTCTACACTGCATCACTCTTAAATTGCCATTAACCCTCAACTGAAAAGCTGTCGTATACAACTCTGATTTTGACGCTGAACTTTTTAATGTAATAAACGGCGTGTTTTGGCCCCAGCTGTCGTGTGAGAACTCACGGCAACCCACAAAACTCTGGTAACGAAACGGTGGCCAAGGATTGGTTTGCTCCGTCGCCGTCCGATGGACAGCTGCAGTATCCCACCCATCAAATCTGGATGACGACCTCCGCTATTCTCACTGTGGGGGATGATTTTCCAATTTCAACCATCTCCGAAACTGATGCTCATTTGTGAGGTTTGAGTGACGAGTAATATTGCCCAAATCTGCTTGTCCACATTTTCACACTCACCTGTGTTTACGAAGCTTTGTAAAGAGAAAACAAGCCACGTGAGTTTCGCAGAACAAGTTTAGGAGATCAAACCATCGAAATGTTAGGACTAAGAGGTGGGTATCAGGTAGGAAACGAAACAGCATATTCTGCCAAATGCTGATATGCCATCACCAATCACCGTCCTCCACCAAACGCTCCTAGTATCCATGAGGATTCGAGATTAAGGTAGCCCTAAACATTTCAGAACACAAGTTGTTACTGAGAAGCCTGACAGAGTGAATGTATATCGTCTTTGGAAGTTGTGGTTCATGTTTGAGTACACCTAGCAGATATGGCGGTCATGTGAAAATTCAACGAGGAAGCACACGGTTGGGCTGAGCACTCCTGGTGGTGGTAAAATGTGTTGAACAGAAGGTAGAATCGAAGTTGAGCGTTATGTGAAGGTTGAGGGGCGGGCTGAACTGAATCAATCTTCATTGTATGTTTTCTTGAAGGAAGGAGCCTCCGTAGTGTTGGTGATTCTATCCATCGGTTGTGTGCTTTGGCCTCACTGTTCTGAGACTTTGGTCTTCTTCAAAGTTGTTAGGTTGCACTAGGAGTTTGGAGAAATGATGGTCGCCTGCAGGACCGGGAGGGTAGGTCCCGGAATAACACGTCCTTCGATAGTTTCGAGAAGCGAGAGCTTTAGACAACCTTTGGTTGCGGCATATGGGCTGGCTGGGGCTTCGCGGTTGGATTCTACCTCAAAGTCGTCCCGGCCGTTGTCTGGCTTAGGTATAGTTGCTCTCTGACAATTACGTTTCCGATAGACTCAGCGTAAGCATTGAAACCAGTTGTTGCAAGCCTCTTACATTGAATGTTCAAACCAGAATTATTCTGTTGCCACAGTTTTGCTGTTTGCGGTAGGTTTTGAGTTTGGGTATTTGAGCCTTAGTTTGTGATATTGCACGTTGACAGGGACAAGATCCGTCACCCAAGTTAGCTTGAGCAGCAGCCATTCTTCCCTGCAGGGTTCTCTCGCGCTGCAAGCTCATCATAAGGTCCTATATCACCTTGGGCATGTCTGCGAAGAACGCAACCGGAATGCAGGTATTAGGTGCCACGCGGCAGCAGCGTCCTCGGCGCAGGGAGGAGCTGCCTTCGAGCCAGACGCAGCCGCGCCTCCTGCTTCAGGTAGAATTTGGACGGTGAGATATCTTTCTCGACTGTTTTTTGGGTTTAGTAGTTTGAATTTACTTCGATGGATCCCTTATATCCACGTGCTTATGTGAGTAAAACTTACTAGATATCCTTACACGATTTATGGGTTCTAATCAGCTCATTCGTGTGCCCTCATTGTGAATAGTTTCTTGTTGCAGCGAAGGAATTGTAGACTATGGATCCACTTATTTTTTATTGAATTTTGCACAGATGTCAATCTGGCTCAGAAGGTGAGAGCAATCTTATTCTATCTGACAACATTTGCGGTGGCTATACCGTTGTTCGTAGTCATGCTGATATTACAGCCCTTCGTACTCTTACTCGACAAGCAACGTAGAAGAGCTCAGCACCTTGTGAACAAGGTCTGATCCTTGTCTGCATTTTGAAAAATCCCTTGAGCTCGTTTCTATTCAAAAGTCATAATTTTATACAATTAACTAATGTTGGTGTGTATTCAAGGACTTATTTCCTTGTGCATAGTCTACTTCTTCCTCAATATCTGCACATGAATCACGTTAACATGATAATTCCCAGTGACATTAGTGTTTGTCGAAGAAGGATTTCATTTTAAAACTTGTTTTTATCTTTGTGGTGTCAGGTGTGGGCAATTTTGACAACGTCTTTGTTTTATAAAACTGAGATTGAAGGTTGGGAAAATCTTCCAGCATCTGATGAGGGTGCAGTGTATGTTGCCAATCATCAAAGCTTTTTGGACATCTATACACTCTTTCAATTAGGACGACCATTTAAGTTTATTAGCAAGACCAGCAATTTTCTCATTCCGATTATTGGTTGGTCCATGTACATGACGGGCCACATTCCCCTAAAGCGTATGGACAAGAGGAGTCAATTGGTACGTCTGTGCAATGCAGTTCTGGCTTAATCTCTGGCTATGCAATTACTTGAGCGCAAAGTGGTAATGTTAACTTGTTACGAAACGATATGTAGTAGCTCAGTAGTGAACACATCATTTAATGTACGGAATAAGAAGGCTTCGTGTCCGCACAAATTCGATGGCTTACGTAGGAATTGAGCACTTGAGAATTCACTGTTGGCTCTAGAATGGGGTAATTATAATTAGAGCGGTGATTACAATTGTCTCTGAAGGTGTGGTCTGTGGTCACAGGAATGCCTGAAGACCTGCATGAAGCTGGTTAAAGAAGGTGTGTCTGTTCTGTTTTTCCCTGAGGGCACAAGGACAACGGATGGAGCAATGGCTGCCTTCAAGGTATGTCATGCTGGATCTACTCCAACTTGTCTAGGAAGTGCCTTCCTTTTCTTAACGATTGTTAAGCGTATTCTGTTCAGAAGCATTCATTACAGTCAATTTATAAAACAAATTTGTATCTCCGTTGAAACCTCAGAGATTTATGTAAATAATTCATGTAGTTTAAGTTTTAAATTTCAAAATTAGATATGTTTTTTCATTACGGATCATCTTTGCAATTGTCCGAATCTTCATGTTGGGAACTCATTTAATACTTTTTCTTGAATTGGCTTTGAAAAGTCTGAAACGAGTTACTGAATTTTGCTTGCGTGTGTTGATAGTCACCTGCACTCGCAAAGTTAATGCACGGGTACTACTCCACTGCAGCGGGCTCATGACGGTTTGGTTGTCTTTGCATTCTCGCAGAAAGGAGCTTTCTCTGTGGCGGCCAAGGGAGGTGTGCCAGTTGTACCTATAACGTTAATTGGCTCAGGCAAGTTGATGCCAAATGGTTTAGAATATACATTACGGCCTGGCGTTGTGAAAATGATTGTCCACCCAGCTATCCGCAGTAAAAATGCCGATGAGCTTTGTGATCAGTCTAGGAAGGTTATTGCAGAGACCTTGATCAAACACGGTCTTCCTGTTCATTAGTTGCTGTGATTGATGATCGCCTATCAGGATGATGCGATCAAGTGATCAAGCCCTGTTTGTCGTTCTTAGTGATTAAGGAGTCATTTCTGTCCATCGTTTATGCCCCGCAAGAGATTTAAGGAGATCACAAAGTCGGTTGTAGCAAGAGAGTTGGACACTGTGATAAGCCCAATTAACTTATGTTGAAGTGTCATTTATTCTTTGAGAAGAGCTTTGGTACTCAAACGAGCATCTATTCCTCGCAATAATTGTGGTTCATAGCTCCTCTGCATTTCTGGTTGGTACTAACGGAAAAATGGAATATAAGATGAGAGCAGGCAAACTACTGGGAATGGAAAATGAGTGAGGATATTAAGTCTCACTGCAGGAGTAGACCAAGTTTTCTCAAGATAGATTCGACTTTATCGACGATAGTACCTAATACAGTAAAGATTCGAGGACACTCTCCGTTTGGATCACAAAATTGAATATGGCAAAAACCGTGGTCCTCAATTAGTCAGAAATCTAGCAACCTGAGCACAAGCAGATTCTTTTTAGTTGTCTTTCAGTTTTGTTTGTGTTTAATTAGACTTCTAGCAAAGAGTTTATTCTATACCTCATTTTTAAATACATAATTATTTCTTTAAATTCAAATGGCTCATATAGTACAAGGGTTTGGTAGTTAATTCATAGAAAGAAAAAATTAGTCTTCATCTTAACACCCAATGCTCCTTGTATTACCCCCAAAGTAGGAGACCATCTTCTTTAGATTTTGGAAATGGTATTGTGCCTGTAATATCCAGGAGTGGGCCACCCTCTTCTATATAAATTAACATCTAATCCTTAGAAATGGGATTTGTAGATAGTCTTTACTTGAAAGCAAGCTGACTTTTTAGAAAAAATATCACCTATGAGATTTTCTAAAGTAGGAAGAACATTTTTTTAAAGTAACTTTCTTCCAAGTTTGGCATAATATAACATGTAATCTTCACCAATTATCAAACAATATAATATAGAATCAAAATATAATTCACTAACCATACCATAAAATAGATTGATGCCTTGTAGACAATGAAAACTAAAAGGCTAATAAAATAAAATAAAATAAAATCTTCAATTTTTATGTATTGAATAGAAAGTTGGAAGATCACTGCTTATAATTGATTTTTTGTCAAGATACATAATCCAATCCAATCCAATCTTAAAGTTTTAATGAAGCACTACCATAGTGAAGTAGACATTTCCAAGTTTTAAGAAAACAATAATGTATGAAGATCCAAATATAGCCAAGATCAAGTAGAATATGATAATTGGACCAAGCTTCTTCCTAAGTTAGAAGAAGTGTTGGATCTTTAAAGAGGTTTTGAACTTATTGGAGACTACTCAAATGTAGAATTATAACTCGAGGTTACTTTAGATGAAAGTCAATTTGTAGAAATTTGGAATTCCATTATAAAAAAAACAATATCATACTTCTTGAAAAAAAGTTAGAAGGTTGAGCTATAAAACTTCTTTTTTTATGTACTCGACAAAGTTTTTTGGTCTTAGCTCCAAGAGATATTAATGCCATGAAGATGGTGATGTTTGATTCCATCTTAAATGACTATATTCAGTAATTCACCTACTAAGATTCAAAAGTATGGTATTAAAGATATTCTAATCACACAGCTCTTTCAATTAGAATATTTTTGGTAAAGAACTTACTAATACTAATTATAATGCTTGTACTTTAAAAAATGATTTTGATTTTATAACAGAAAAAAATATTAGATCAAATAAAATTTAAAAAATCTATCATTTTAATTTTTTTAAGAACTATTTTATACTAATTCAATTTATCATTTATTTTATTAATTATTAACTTATCTCCAAAAAAATCAAATTATTCTAAAATGATATTATTTTGTAGAAGAAAAATTAAATTTATAATAATAATTAAATATAATTAGCTTAATGTATTTTTTTATGTACTCGACAAGGTTTTTTGATGAAATATATCTATATATATCTATATATATATATATATATATATATATATTGATGAACAAGAAGAAATAATCCTACTAAATAATCCTATTCCAAATATCACATAATAAATTGATTAGTTTCAAATGGTGAAAATTAACCATCTTTATTTAAGATTTTATTTTATTTTATTTTATTTTGATTTTTGAAACTATTAATCTATTATTACTTATTGGTTAAGGTCCATGCTAAATCCAACCACCATTGTTTTAGTAATGATAGTTTAATTAATATTAATTTATATCAAATAATATTCTATATCTTAATGTATTTAAGGCTATTTGAAGAGAAAGGCTTGTAACACTTAATTTAGTCAATTTTTCTTAAGCATCTGTTTTTATTTGGATTTGCAATAAAGTTTCTAAAAAACTTTGGATGTGCTAAGGATTAAATTTTATTCTAAAAGATTTTTTCTATTAACTTAATTTTTTGAAGAGTTATGAAAGACCTTAGCTGTTTTGAGATAAATAAGTAAATTAATAGAAAGAAAATAATATTAAAAATAATGACTTAATTTCTAATATATATTTTTATTAAATAGAATTGATATATTTTTATTTTTATTTTACTAATAAAAAATTGGTTTTTATTTTAAGAATAAAGTGATAATAAAAAGTCCTGAAAAAATTGCTAATATTACTACATAATGTATGGGCCCATTCAATTTTTTTCCCATAGTAGTCTTAATGAGCTTTAGAATTGCTATTATGTAACTAATTTTTATCAATTAAATTCTATATCAAATATGAGACAAACATATTTACATTGTCTACAAGGTAGAATGTATTGTCCTTATTTCTTTTTACACCTAATATAGAATTGTCTTTCTTAATATTATTAATAAGTGAGATACTTATAATTTTTTTAAAAATTCATAACAAATTAATAATATTTTCTTGTATTTTTCTAAAAATATTTATAAGGTAGGAAATAGAAAATATCCTTATCATATACGCCTTTAAATATATTTATTTTGATAAGTGACCTAATAATACCAGCTACTATTATGTTTTTTTATCATTGCAAGAAATTACTATAAAATTTAAGTTTTTTCATAGCTAAAAATAAGAAATTCTAAGAGATGTTTTTATTAATATTTTAAAAATCTTATTTTAGAATCAAATAAATTTAGCTTTTAGATCATAATATAATTATGTAAAATTTTAAAATAATATCACATATTTAATAAAATAATATTTTTTTTATTTAAATATGTAATTTCTATAAACATCAATAGAAGTCTTTTTTATACTGTTTTAATATAAATTTTGTATGTAATATTAAACATAAAATAATTTTTTATAATTTAAGAGCATCTTATTGTTTTCTTAAAAAAATAAAACATCAGTTCTTTTAAATATAATTTTAGAAATATCTTTAGTTGAAGATTTATTGGCCATGTTAATATATTAATATATATTAATATATATTAATATATATATATATATATATATATTTAAATTTAATATATAATCGAATTAATCTAAGAACCTTTCTAGAAGCCATATCATAAATTCAAATTTAGATTTCATATAAAACAAAGGCTTAATTAGTATTTTGTTTAGAAATTCAATGACTTTTTGTTAATTTTTAATTTTTTAAAATTTTTTCATGAAAAAATTAGTGGTTTCTTTTATTTTTAAATTTTCACCGTGTTTTTCATTTTAAAACTAATAGAAATCATAACATATGTGTTTTAACTCATCATAATCACTAACTTTGAATCCAAGACTATTATAGAGCTCGAACTATGATAATGTTGGATGTCTTTTGTTTTAGCAATTACAAAATAACTTAAATATCTAAAATCAATTTTCTTGTCTATACTTTTGTATTGCGCTCTTTGAAAATTTTTATATAGATTCTAGTAAAAATGCATTTTTTATTAAAAAAAATCCAATATTTTTTCTTAAAATACAAAATTAATTTTTTTTGATTTAATTCTAATATCTTTGAAGTAACATAAATTCATCTTAAAATTTTAAAATCAATAGATAGTTTTCATTGCAAATATTCTAACAAATTAATACATCTTTTAAATTTATATTAATATTTTAAATATTTTTAATAATTTTTTATCCAGGCAAAAATATAATTTTATATAAAATCTGATTTTTTTATCATATATTTTTATTATTCTTTTCTACAATATTATAAAATTTCTATTGACTGTAACAAAGTCTTTTAATTAAACCAATTCTAATCATTATTATTATTATTATTATTATTATTATTATTATCTTTTTTACTTTTTTTTCATAAAATTCTCTAAAAATAAAATATTTCTTAAAACATCATTTATTGAATTCAAATCTCTTCTTATAATCTAAAGTATGTTTTTTTTAGTAATATATCTATTAAATTTAGCCATATGTGAATTTTTTACTTAAATTTATTTTCTGCATAGATATTAAAAATCTATACAAATAATATATAATTTTTTTTAAGTGCCTCTATATTATTAAAAAGGTGCTTAAAATTAAAAACAATAAGAATGTAGATACAAGATCTATTTAGATCTACAATATAACATAGAGTTATTTTTCATACAATTTTTTTTTGAAATTGGCTGTAATATTCTACTTAAATCTTAAATTATTATAATATTTTCTTTATTAATTAATATTATCTATTACAATAAAAAATATTATTACTAAAGAGTATTGATTATAAGAGGTAGTAGGGTAAAGGTGGAATGGACATCATTCTTACTAGGGCCCTATAATCTAGGTTGCTTGCTTATGTAATGGTAGCTATGTAGTCTTATTATTAATTAGGTAAGATGTGTAATCAAGCTAACTATAATTTTTTAGTGCAATTTTAGTGTGAAGTTGAATGACTTCTCATGGCATAAGTTACATGTGCAAAATAGATGAAAAGATGAAATAAGATTTATATCTTAGCATTCTTCAAGATGAGCTTGTAGAGAAAATTTAATGGTATCATTTCAATCTATTTTTTGTCATATTTTAGGATGATAATGATCCTAAATATAATGAAAAATCAATCAAGTAATGGTTTTCAATACAAAATTTTGATGTATTTACTTGGTCTCCTCAATTACCTGACCTAAATTCAATTAAGAATGTATGGGCATTTACAAGACAAAAATTAGATGAGTATCTCACACTAGCCAAAGGAATGCTTTAATTGTAGAAGCATGTGCAAGATTCTTTCAATTCTATCACTCTTTAGCAGTGT